AGCTGGGATAAACCTACCTAGAATATTACCTATGGCAAATCGCCAGAGGAGGCTGTTAAAAGGCACTAATCACAACTGATTCAATCATTCATATAGAATTTGAGAGACAATGATGTGTAAAAATGACTTATTTCTGAAATCCACTGTACATTGTGGCAATGTTTTTCAGAACATACCTGGGACTTGGTTTCACTTCCATGTGCTTAGGGTAGCATTAATTGGACCTCACTTTCGTGTGCAATTGGTTAAGGTGGAGTTTTCTGCATTCAGAATTTTCCTCAACCTAAATGTCATTTATTTATTAAAAATGTGTGTAAGCTGCCCTTCCTCCAAACAGATCTGAGGGCCATGTACAGTAATAACAATAGTAAAATACAATTAAAGCAAAAGATCAGCCATCATAAAACAGTACAAATTAAAAAACAGGAGCCAAGAACCAAATGTGCACCCTTTAAAATGCCTTGGCATGCTGCAGTATGACAGAAAAAAAATGTGTGAAATTCTAAAAGCATTGATTTTTGCCAACAGCAACACAGAATAATTCTTTTTTTAGTTTGGCCCCAGAAACTTACCAGTTCTGTATCGTCTATCATATGACATGGGCAGGTGGGTGTGGCTTGGGTCAAATCACATCATGTGGGGAAACCCCCCCTCAAAGCTGTTTACAAAAAAATTGAGGCAATTAAAAAAAATACAACCCTGCTTAAAAACATTATATGTGTTAACTACCGGATGTGACTCTCCACATCATGAGAGTAAGGAAATTTACATTATTACATAATTTTGCTATGTAGCTGATAATTAGCTACAAATGGAATTTATTTGGGGCTGAATAAATACAAAGGCTTCCCTTCCTACTACAGATGTTAGTTAACTCAGCATGGCCAAGTTGAATGTTTTGCCAACACGCCAGGAAGAAGACTCAAGACAAATAAGCATGGGTAAATGTGTTATACTCATAGGCGTTAACTCCTCTGCCTATCCCTCCAGAAATTATGTGGAAATACTGGAGGAAAATAACAGCATGGCTATAGTATAGTATAGTATAGTATAGTATAGTATAGTATAGTATAGTATAGTATAGTATAGTATAGTATAGCATAGCATAGCATAGCATAGCATAGCATCAGTTCAATTTATTGTGTCTAGTGAACAGCCAGTACACACATGAAAATAATAGTGACAAGAAGACAACTATGAATAGTGGTTTACATTTCTACCCCCCAACCTTTACAGGATAAATCATTTCCCATTCCCCCTTTAAGTTTTGTTACATGAATTTGTAAAGCCTTTACAAGAAATTTGGATGTGTAGTGTAGTGTAATATGGTATGGTCAGGGCTTTTTTACAGCCAGAACTGACTGGAACTCAGTTCCAGCACCTCTCAGGCAGGCACTATTGCCATTATAAGAGAACAAGAGGTGTTCGTGGTGAGTTCCAGCACCTCTTTTTCTAGAAAAATAGCACTGAGTATAGTATAGTATAGTATAGTATAGTATAGTATAGTAAACAAAGTTATCCCCTCTGCAGCATATCTACTTATATCTGATACACTGTGTGTGGACTGGATATTTTCTTGCTGAATTAGACTTGGATGTCTAGGGTAAACTGACTTTGAAACTTGCTTCAATAGTATCCTTGGGATAAGCCCTTAGGTAGGAATATTCTGATTAAGTTGATATATCTAAAATCCCTTCTTGCGTCCCATTTCAGCCATTTTTGCATTTAGTATTACATTATATCAACTAACATATTGTAAACACATGTCTGTATGTCGCATGTTTGTGGCTCTTTACTGAGCTCTGGAAAGATAAAATGTCTCATGTTTTCTCTGCAGGAGGTCTTGTGCTTTCAGCCAAATTTAATAGGTATTTATGCATTGCAAAGATCTTATCTCATGTCCTATTGGTTCCGGGTCATTCCTAGGCTCACATTATACTGGAACATGGAGAGAGAGAGAGTGCAAGTAATTTGTTAATGTCATATAGGATGAACTTGGTTAGAAAGGGAAGTGTACACACTTTATAATAACACAAGTGTTTCCTTGCTAATCCCTTGGCAGGTTCATTATCTGTAGAGCCTCAGGCTACAGTTGGCCTATCGTGAGAGAGAAATTTAACCCACAGCATGAAATTAATCCTCAAAGACTTGTGTCTGCCCATTCTAGAAATAATAAATCTAAAGTGATTTTTATAATTCCCCTCTAACTTTATGTAGAGGTGTTATACTGGTATCTAAGTTCTGCGCCACATGCCGGTCTGTTGATTTACATTTTGTTAAGAGATGTTAAGGAATCAAGGAATGATAACAACAAACGTGAGAAAACGTAAGAACAAAACGTGTGATGCTTTTGAAGATTGTGTGCATGTTTGTGGGTGTTTAGCTATATTTTCAACAAGATGCTTCTTTATAGATTCAGATATTCAGCACAAATTTATTTCCTTTTAATGCTATAAAAATGCACAAGTAAGAAAACAATATAGGGCTGTGGAACCCAGACAAGGTTGTAACTATATAGCTACATGCATTCAACAAACGATAACTTTCAAGAAGAAGCTGATGGATTTCTTCTTGTGAAACAGACTTCCACTTGTGCAACAGGACTTTCCTGCCTCCCCCCTACACGCTCTCAAAATCTGCTCCAGAAGGGTTGGGGAACTCTTCAGAGGTCCAGGCATGGAAGAAAGAGAAGGAAAGCCTTGTTGCTAGCAGAGCACTGGATACAACCCAAAACTGTATCTCCCCCCCCCATTTCCTAAACAATAGGCATATACAAATAATATTCCCTCGTTAATCTTTTTGGTGAAAAATAAGCCATATTTAGAATGAAAGTAAGTGCTTCCATGTGCATAGAAGATTTATCTTGTGTGATCTGCCATTTTACAGTATGAAGCAGACAACTTGCATGCAGTGATTCTTCTAGGTAATGTTTTTCCCCCTCCTCTGTATACGCGTCAGTAGAGACTGCTGACATCCGTATTTGAAATGGTTTCATTTTTAATGGGATCAGGGGTGGAAACATTTGACCTAATAATAGCTGACCAGTTGTTCATGCTAAACATGAGAGAGAGCAATAAAATCTAGGTTAGGAATCAGATTTTTTAGAATCTTGGTCCCGTTTTAGTCCAGTTACTCAGTGAAAGAAGTATTTTTGCACTTAAGAGTACAGATGAGAAAGGCAATGAAGGCTATTATATTAGGTAAAAGGTAAAGGACCCCTGGACGGTTATATCCAGTCAAAGGCGACTATGGGGTACGGTGCTCATAATTGCTTTTCAGGCCGGGGGAGCCAGCGTTTGACCACAGACATCTTTCCACGTCATGTGGCCAGCATGACTAAACCGCTTCTGGCACAATGGAACACTGTCACAGAAGCCAGAGTGCATGGAAATGCTGTTTACCTTCCTGTCACAGAGGTACCTATTTATCTACTTGTACTGGCATGCTTTTGAACTGCTAGGCTGGCAGGAGCTGGGACAGATCAATGTCACGGGGATTTGAACCACCAACCTTCTGGTCGCCAACTCCAAGAGGCTCAGTGGTTTAGACCACAGTGCCACCTGTGTCCCCCTATTATATTAACAGTAGTTTACAGGACAATGTTAAATACATGGTTTAAAAGACATCCAAATAAAGGGAGTGCTATTAACAATGGGGAGAAGCACAATGGGAACACATGAAATTGTGGTGTAATAGGGTAACTGAAATTGAGATGTTGTTGTTTAGTCGTTTAGTCGTGTCCGACTCTTCGTGACCCCATGGACCAGAGCACGCCAGGCACTCCTATCTTCTACTTGAGATAATGCAGGTTTAATGCTAACTTTACTTTTCATAGGAGGGAAAAGAGGAATCACAAGAGACAGCCAAATAGAATGTTTTTCTTAAGAAGCGTTTTAAAGAGTCATGACTCTGGAAAGGAGAAGGAAATTATCCTGATTTTTAACTGATTGTTAAAATCACACTTTTTTATTATTCTAGGGGTGAAAGAAGTATTGAAAGTTGTGAACAGTGCCTTAAGATGTTTCTTTGATCTGAAGATTTTCATGAGGTTGGAGACAGTCATTTAACAGGATGGTCCCCCTTACCCCAGTCATCTTAAAAGAGAGAGAAAGACGTAAAGCTACAAAACAGGCAGTAAAATCTGTTGCAAAGTATACGCCTTGTAGATTACTGCAGTGTCTGCTGCCCACAAACCTTTGGCTAGCATGCTTTCCCCTTTAACAAAAAAACCATGTTGCTTTGTAGCTTTAAAATTATCAGCACATTGAAAAATCTTGTTAAACCCAAAAGAAAGGCCCTGTTTCCCTTTTGATTTAACAGCATTTCAGATGCTGGTGAAAAAAAAGGGGGAGCTCTCCTTTTATTCCCGAAGTCAGTAAGAAATATTATGGAAAATTGCGCTAACTCTTGCAAATCCCTCTACAACTATAAAAGTACAAATGAGATTGTCCCTGCTGTTTCAGTCAGGCCTGTGAACTTCAGAGCAATAGGATATTTATAAGAAAATTCCAGACATAGCAGTGGAGCCGTGATCCATATGACCCAAACTTCCCAGTCTTTGTCTATCCTCCTGTCTTTAAGGAAAAACAGAGGGGCATAAAATAAAAACTTGGAAGAGCACAAATCATTGTTATGACTCGTTATAATGAATGATTTGCGCATTGCTTTATAGACTCGTTAGGTTGAGCTCTTAAGGAAAACTTTTTTTTTTCTACTTTATGCTAATTCTCAAGCCACTTTCTCGCCTCAAAATAAGAGTGTTCATTTTGCAGCACTGCCTTTCTATCCATCGCTGGGTTTTCCAGCTAAGGAAGTGTGTTGTTGTAAAGGTGCAAGTAAGCACACCACTCTTGTCAGGGGACGGCTAGTGTTCCCATTTGTTATTAAGTTCTGTGTTGAGGAGTCCATAACTTAGGCTGCTATCCTAATAATAACTTGTAATCCTCCTTGAGTCCCTGTCAGGGAAAAAGGTGAGCTATAAATAAATATTTAGTAATAGAACTCAGGATAGCTCAGCTGGTAGAACATGAGACTTTTAATCTCAAGGTTGTGGGTTCAAGCCCCACATTTGGCGAAAGATTTCTGCATTGCAGGAGGTTGGTTTAGGTGACCCTTGTGGTCACTTCCAGCTCTGCAATTCTATAATTCAACAACAACAACAACTCAGAAATAAGTCCCATGAAATTCAATGGAGCTTACTCTCAGATTAGACATGCAAGTGGGGCTGGGATTGCAGCCTTAGTCAGAAAAAAAGCTAATGTCAAATTATTTTATTTTATTTATTTATTTAATGATTCTCTCCTACTCACATACCCCACTAAAACATCAGCACTAAAAACCTATATAAAAACCACTTCAAATCCGATGCAGATACAGACTGGGAGAAGAATCTCCACTTAAAAGGAAGCCTTTCCCTAGTTGCCAAAAGGACAACAGAAACTTGTCTGATATGTGATGGGATGGAATTGCAACTGGTTGGTGCCATCACACTAAAGGCCCAATTCCTTCTTTCTGTGTACTGGACCTCTTGGTAAGATGGTATCTGCAGGAGGACATCTCCCACAGAGCTTAGGGATCTGATGATGTTTTAGGTTTCCTGGGCTGGATCACACCAAAGAAGCGTTTCAGTTAAATGCGTTGTAAACTTTGTATGAGAAATCGGGTTAGCAAAAGCAGGTCTCCACAGCACCATCTGGTGGCAAAGTATTATATCACATATCCAATGCATATAAATCGCTTTTTCTTTATCATTCTAGCTGAGTCCCTGGTCTCAACCTATATCAAGATTTGTACACCAGTCCCTGCACCTTGAATTTAACCTGGTAGTTAATTGGCAGCCTGTCCAATTCTTTCAGCAGTGGTGTAACATGATGGCGAAATTCTACCCCAGTGAGCAATTGACCCACTGCAGCTTCTGGCCAACCTTGGGGGTAACTCCCATAGCAGTAATCCAGTGTCCTACACATTATTATGATGTGCTTAGAATAATGAAATGCCCAGAAATTAATGCTAGGTTGATTTGCTTTTCTTAAATCATAGAAACAGCAAATTAAGATTGCCCCTTTAAACATGGTCCTTTACTGGCAATATTGGAGGCAAGTATTAAATGGCCTTTCACTTCCAGTTGATAATGAAAACCATGTATGTTTAATATTGGGGCACAGCTGGGTGGATCAGAATAGAACTTTAACTCTTAATTCTAAATTTCCTAGCTTTACTGAATTCTATTTAGAACTTTAATGGTGTTTTAATAGTGCTCTCTTAGGCTTGGCAATATACATTATAGCCAGACATATCAAACAGGGGTTTTTATTTTTCAATGAAATGCAGATCTCTTGTTGAAAATATTGATGCATCCAAGGACATAATCGGATTTTTTTTTCTACACCTAACCTTAGCCAAAAGATGAGGAAGTGATAACCTGATATTTTAAAGCAAATTTTAGTAGAACATTTTATCTAAAAGTAGTATATTAACTATATTTCTTAGTACTGCTGTTGAAACGTAGATCCTTATTTGGACTTTACCTTTGCAATTGATTAGTCAACATGTGATAGTAGTATGATTTGTACATTTCATTCCCTGTCTGCTATAAAGAACTTTTTAATCATTTGTGTTTCTGTGCCACCAAGGAGTTAATTTAATATGTGTAACATTGTAGTCCGCAGTATTTTTTATGCCTCTTCATCAAAGCACAATACAGTGGTACCTCGGTTTAAGAGCAGCCCTGTTTACAAACTATTTGGTATAAGAACTCCGCAAAACCGGAAGTAGTGTCCCAGTTAGCGAACTTTACCTCAGTCTACGAATGGAATCCAGATGGTGAAAGGGCACCAGCGGTGGGAGGCCTCATTAGGGAAAGCACACCTCGGTTTAAGAATGGCTTTGGTTTAAGAACGGACTTCTGGAATGGATTAAGTTCATAAACCGAGGTCTTCTTCTTCTTTGGTGATCACTCGTAGCCAAGTAAGATTGTATTCCATAAACACAGTTTTAACAATGAGTCCGTAAGTGACTGTGGAGGCCAATTCTGGACCCACACGTCCTTCCACAGTGGGGACATTGGTTCCTGGGCAGGAGTTGATCACAGTGTGGATTTGCCAAGTGTGCCTTCCTCTTAGCACGTTTCTCCCTGTACCAGTGTGCAAAGGGTTAATCTCATACACAACCCTCCTCGCCCCTAAATACTAATGAAAATAGAAGAGCCACTAGAATACTTGTCCCAAAATGGAAAGGAGAAGTCCCGAGCAGAGAAGAATGGCTACAGAAATTAATGCAATATGCAGAAAGGGTGAAACTTACCGAAAGAATAAGAAATCAAGATAACAAACTTTTTTTTATTAAGGAGTGGAAATTGTTTATTGAATACAGTGGTACCTCGGGTTACAGACGCTTCAGGTTACGTGTTTTCGGGGTTGCACACCACGCCAAACCTGGAAGTACCGGAATGGGTTACTTCTGGGTTTTGGCGCTTGCACATGCACAGAAATACTAAATTGCATTTTGCGCATGCGCAGAAGCACTGAATCACAACCCGCACATTCGCAGATGCGGCACTGCAAGTTGCGAACTTGCCTCCTGCACAGATCATGTTCGCAGCCCGAGGTTCCACTGTATTTACAAACTAATTGCAAATATATTAAGACATTAGCAGGATTACTGTAAAAATGTGCAATTTCAAAAACATATACAATAACAGAGAATTAAAAGAATAAGTTGAGACCAATGGGACATGCAGGGAAAGAAGGAAAGAACTTTTAAGGAACTGCAGGAAGGGGGGGAGTCGAGGTTAAATGTTAGAATTATTGTTGAATGATTATTGAAATGTTTTATTTTTGTTATAAATAGAAATTATATATATATATTTTAAAGAGTAAGAATATAAATAAATAAAAACCTTTAACAAGTTTTCTACAAACCGACAGAGTAGCAGGCATCTCCCTGCTTTACTAGTCAGAAAGAAAGGTGCTATAACATAGGGGAAATCAAAACCTCGTAAAACAATTCTGTGGAACTACCTAGCTCTTTTTTTGTAAAGACCTTTCAGTGAAATTCCACTGGCTGCAGAGCAATTGCACCAGTGTGCAGCCTGGAGCCTTTTATGCATGGTAATTAATAGGGAAAATGGAATTCAGTGTTAGGGCTTGTTTAGTATCCCTGATTTGATATGGTTACTATGAAGGAACTTTGTATCTTGAGCTTTGTATCTTGTTCTCTGTTGTGAAAGAACGATGTACAGTATTTGCATTGTGGATTTGGGCACATGCTAATGATATTGCAGTCTGATAACTTCATTTGACAATTTAATGCAGTGATGACATGATGGCTAGCAACTAGCCAGTAATAAAGAAAAACCATGATCTTCCCTGAACCATATGTGGAAAATGTACGTACTTGGGTTCTTCCTCAGGGGCATAAAGCATTTGTGATGATGAGAAAAGAGATGTTTTCTGTATGGACAGTGAATGAATTTTAGGGTCCAATAATGATATGTGATGACTGTGATGGGTTCTCATATCAAGGATTAGGAAATAATATTCTGCATCATTTTTACTTATTTACAGTTATATTCTGCCTTTCTTCCATCATGGAACCCAAGGCAGTATATATTTTACGTTCATTCTTTAATAACTGATTTAAATAACAATGATAATTATGTATCCCCTAAATTGGGATCCAAAAACATTACTCTACTTACATTTGCCAATGACACTATTGTATTGTCTCAAATCCAACAAGGGTTAAGAAGACTTTTGAAATCTGTTAATCAATTGTTAGTGCAAGAAAAAACTAATTATGAAAAGATAAACGTTTTGGCTTTTGCTGATAGGTTTAAAAACACAAGTGGCAAATTGAGGGGCAACCCGTTGAGAAGGTGAAATCCTTTAAATATCTAGGTTTATGTTTTACTTCAACTGGGAATTGGAATGAGCACTTCATGAATACAAATAAATTGACTACTAATACAGTGAACTCTCTATCAAGGTTCTATTGGAATAAATGAGGTAGACAAATTCCACCAGCCCTCAAAATTTATGAAGCCAAAGTCATCCCACAAATCTGTTATAGCACACAAATATGGAGATCTCTTCAAAAGACGAATCTGGAAATATCCCAGAATAAATATATTTGTGTTATTTTTGAGCTCTCCAAGGCAACTGAGTCTTCTATCTTCATTTGGAAGCTGGCCTCTGTTCAGTGAGGGCCAGAGTACATCTCCTTGCCCTTAGGCAAATCTAAAATTTAAAAAGGGGATAGGGCCCATTTTAGTACTTTCTGCTTTCAAGGAGATGCTGGATCTTAACCATAGAATTGCAGAGTTGGAAGGAATCCTGAGGGTCATCTAGTCCAACCCCCTGCAATTCCTGACAGATGGCCATCCACCCTCTGCTTAAAAACCTCCAAGGAAGGAGACCCACCACCTTTAGGTGGTGTCCATTTCACTGTTGAACAGCTCTTACTGTCAGAAAGTTCTTCCTTGTGTTTAGTCAGAATCTCCTTTCTTGTAAGTCGAATCCATTTGTTTGGGGCCTAGCCTCTGGAGCAGGAGAAAAGAAGTTTGCTCCATCTTCCATGTGACTGTGACAGCCCTCAAGATATTTGAATGTGGCTATCATATCTCCCTCTCAGTCTCATCTTATCCAGAGGCTAAACATACTCAGCTCCTTAAACAGAGTGAGTCCGTCCTGAAATCAGGAAATGCTACAAGTTATTGAGAAGTATGGCCATCCATTTAGGACTGTAGCTGTCTCACTGTTATAATCACTTCACATGGGTGAATTACCTCTTTTAATGGAATACAAGTGGAAGCTGTTTACCCTTGTTTTCTTTGTGTAAGAGACAGTCAAAGGGTTGGGCAGACCTGAGGATGAGCCAAAAATTCTACATCACAGACTTTCAGCTCAAACTTTGGGAGCAGGGAGTAAAAAGGGGGAATTAAATTGAGGGCCAGTTGGAGGCCAGACATTATAAGGGAACATTATTCCAGGGCTTAATTCTGCACCATCCACACCACTGGAGTTAGAGTGTGGCAGATCCAAGCTTGTAATAAGACCAAGCCAAATAGACTGAATG